GAGAGTTTTTGTTGGCAATCTGGTTTATTATCATTTTTTTAATATTAGCTTTTTGGACTATTGTTCTTGTACTTTTTCGATATATATATTATGCTGCTAGTTTATATATTCAATTTTTTTATTAAGCTCTTCTATATTTTCTTTTAACCACTCTATTTCAATATTCTTTCTTTTTAGACTAATTCATCTTTCTAATTGTGTAAGTGTTTTTCTAACTTTGATTTTCTTATTTTTTTTTTCTTATTTGTTATTGTGTTTAGAACTTATTTTTTTGGCAATGTTTTCTTTGCTATTACTCATATTACATTACTTATAATGTTCTATTACTTGTTTAGTCTTGTATCTTTCTTATTGAACAATCTTTTTACTAAGACCTGCTATAGTTTTAGTAATGTAATTTTTCTTTTAAATTGAGCTTTAAGTTCATTTTTGTAGTAGTTCTAATTTTCTTTTGTTGTTTTGTTAAATAGCAGTACTGTTCTTTGATAATTTTTTTTTTTGATTTCTGCTTTTTTATATACTGCAATAAGATGATTTAAGTCTATTCTTGCCACTATTGCTCCATAATCACTGTTTGTCCAAATATCTATTTCTTAGATTTCTGCATCTAGTAGTCTATTGGCAAGCCTTTTTGTGACCTATATATAATTAATTCTTGTTTTTTGTTCTTTGTCTGATCATATGAATTTGTTCTCTTTCAGATTGATTGTTCTATAAGTATTTTGGAACTTCTGTTTTGCTAATCATTTAATTAGTAAGTCTGCTTTTTAGTTTTTTGCTTAAATTTCTGTAGTTTATCTAGTTCTGTATCTACTATGCAATTTAGGTCACTCATTACTACTAATTGGGTTCTTGCTATGTATTTTATATATTTTTCTATTAGTGTCTTTTGTATAATTAATTTTTTTTCTTTGTTGTTAGGCAGTGCATATATCATGATGACTAAGTTTTCTGCTTATTTAAATATAAAATTAGCTAAAATTATATATTCACTTATTCTATTCACTTTACCTAAGTGTTTTTCCTATTGCTTGCTGATTAGAAACCCTATATTTAAATCTTTTTTCTTGTTTGAATTCACACTTGTCTAAAAATTTTTATACTCAATGCAGTTTTTTGTTAAAAAATTTCTTTCTTTTGCAGTAATGTTTGTTTCTGCAAGCCCTACTATATCAATATTATTGTTTAATGCCCATATATATAATGCTTCTATCTTTTGATTTTTACTTTTCAGGTTATTAATTTTATATGTTGCTAAATTTAATTCTATACTGTTTCTAATATAAATTCTTTTTATGAATGTTTTTCTTACATTTTCTATTATGCTTTTTCTCTTCTTTTTGGCTTTTTTATTGCTATTATCAGTTTGTAAAACTTTTGTTTGTATTGCTTTCTGCTTATGCCACTAATTCTGCAAAAAGGAAACTATTTCTATATCTGATCTCTTTAATTTAACTATGGCAAGTTTTAGGAGTAATTTGCAAGACCTTCTATTATTGTTCCTTTTGCCTCTTTTAACTTTTCTAGTCAATTTAAAATTTTTATTAAAATGTTTTCTGTGTTTAAAGCTTTTTCTTTAGTTTGGACTTTGGATTTGTTTTTTTTCTTCTCTGAACTTTTTTCTTCTGCTATATTATTTATTAAAAAATTTGTTTGATTTTTCAAAATCTGCTCTCTGCTTGTATTATTATTTCTTGCTATTCTTTGTATTGTTTCTCTTAACTCTAAGATTATTTGTCTTCTGTTTCTTAACTCTGATACTGCTCATTTTTTTCTTCTTGATACTTTATTCCTTTTTAGATTTTTTTTCTAATAGTTTTTTCAAATTACTTAATAGTTGTTATACCATATTGGTTTAGTTTGAGCTAGATCTATTTCTTCAGAATTTGCAAATATTATTATTACAAATTTTTTTTGGTTTCCATTTCTGTTAGCTGAAATATATATAGCCTTTGCTTTTTTGTTTTTTAAACATTATAGAAGTAAGACTTCTAAAGCTCTTTTGGAAATATCTAACAGTCTTGCTGTAAATTGGCACTATTTATCTCTTTGGTTATAGTCTTCATCACCTTTAGTTACTTTTATAAGTTTATTGTTTTCTAAAGATAAGGACCAGACACATTTCTTTTTTCTTTAAAGCTTACTTTGATTACTACAAATGCCTTATATTGCATTCTCTTTACTTGTATTATATGTAGATTCTGAAACTTTCTGCATATATATCTTATTTCTTTTTCATTGACATCTAAAGGCAAATCTTATATTGTCAAAATTTTTTGTTTTTCTGTGATTTCTTCTTCTTTTTTATTTGCAGTTTCATCTTCTATATTGTTTGTAGGGGTCTGCAACCCAGGCTTATGCCTATGCCTAACAAAAAATCCAGGCATGAGCATGGGCATGAAAGCTTAGGCATGGGCATGGACATGAAAGCTTAGGCATAGGGCATGCGCATAGGTATAAAAATTCAGGCATAGGCATGAGCATGAGCATAGAATGGCATGGTCATGGGCATGGGCACGGGCATGGGCATAGGCACAGGCATGGGCATGAGCACAGGAATGAGCACAGGCATAGGCATAGGCACAGGTAGGGCTTATTACTTTCTGCGACAACAAACTCCAAATTCTGCATATGCTGCCTATCTATTTATGCAAAAATATGTGATAAAAATTTTAAATTAGATGATACAAATAAAATAAACTGGTTTACATAATATTTGAAAAATTTTTGAACCCGGCCACCTAGAAGTTTTTTTTATTTTTTATTTTTTTTAGTATTAAGATGACCTCTTTGGTCTTTTGACTTTTATTAATCACTTATCGGTATTGTGGTTTAATGAACCATTACAGGAGAGCGTACAATTGGCTACACATGTAACTTTTCTATATTACCTATTTAAGGAGTCCGCCCAAAGGTTCCCCACCAATTGCTGTACCTAACACCCCTGCTTGGGTGTTCTACTTTAAACTTTCTGAACCTGTAACCTGTGTTAACATTACTGATCATCTCTAATGTACCAGATCATCATCCTCAAACTTAGGACTAATTTATCCTTAAGGTAAACCCCCCAGAGCCTTCTGTACTCATTTTTACAGCTGACCTAGGTATCGCTATGACAGAACCAATACTTGCAGTCAGGGCTAACTATTAAACCGCTATGCCCTTGTAAAGTTCACTTAGACCCCAGCATCTACTTCACAGCATAACCCCAGTACTTTAGTATACCTCTGTCTTTTGTCCAGCCTTTTTACCAAACTTCCAATCCAAATAGCCTGTATAAGACTATGACCAGTTCATCAGTATATCGGATCGGCCCAATATCTCTTTCCTTCAGTTTGTTTTAGCAGCCTAGTTGGTGGTACTTCTGGGACTCCAACCCAGAGGTTCTTGCCTATTCGGCTACTACGACTGGGTACTATGACTTTGGTATCTGTTTCTTCAGGCTAGCCTTTACAGTAGAGTCATTGAAGATCCAGCTACCTTTCTACTTGGGTCTTCCCAAATAGACTTCTTGTTAGTCAATTTCAACAGATTTATACAGCCACAAAGACTTATTTAGTATTTGTACTACCTGATTTGTTAGTTTGCATTCCTCTGTGTAATGCCATACTTACACAGATACCCCATGACCTGCCAGTCATGCTGGTGCAACTGTCATTACAGATATCCTAACCTAATCATTAGTAACAGTTGCCATAATACGAATATTACATAGGTGATTATCCAAATTTTTGCTGTTAATAGGATTTGAACACCCAACCTACCACTTGGAGGATTGACAACCTGACCACTTCACTAGGTTGCCACACCTCTGGAGGTTTTTTTTATATATATAAAATTTTTTATAAGTAACTAATATATAACCTATCGCTTTGCTAACGAGTTATATTATAAAGTTAAGTAATATATTAATTTAGTAACAAAATCTAGTCAGATAGTTTATTAAATATTCATTTATTTATTAATTTTATTATCAAATATTACTAACCAAAATCTCAAAATTTAGTTATTCAATATATATATTCATCTTTATATAATATATATAGATAAAAAAAAAACATAAAAAATATTTTATAACTACCATATCCCAATTCTAACTATATATATACTATGTATATATTTCAAATCTAACTACTATATCTAACTATATACAGTATACTATATATTTTGAATCTAACTATGTACTAACTGCTGCACTAAATCTAGACCTAATTACTATATCTAACTATATACTATATATTTTAAATCTAACTGCTAACTACTGTACTATATTTAGAATTTAATTATTATATATATTTTGAATTCAACTATGTACTAACTACTGCACTGCATCTTGATCTAATTACTATATACTATATATTTTGAATCTAACTGCTAACTACTGTACTATGTCTAGAATTTAATTACTATATCATATACATTTCGAATTCAACTATGTACTAACTACTGCACTACATTTTGATCTAATTACTATATCTAACTATATACTATATATTTTAAATCAAACTGCTAACTACTGTACTATGTCTAGAATTTAATTGCTATATATATTTCGAATTCAACTACTAACAACTGCACTATGTCTAGAACCTAATTGCTATATACATTTTGAATCTAACTACTAACTCTGCACTATGTCTAGAACTTAATTACTATATGCATTTTAAATCTAACTATTGTGATATATCTAGAATTTAATTATTATACTATTTCCAGAATCTACTATCATGCTAAATTTAGAATCTAACAATCATGCTATATTTAGCTTTGATAAATTGTACTATGTCCAACTTTAACATCATATTATATCCAATTCTAACAATCATGCTATGTCTAAAATTTAATTTCTATACCTCAGAATCTAAATATTGTGTTATGTTCAGTTCTAACTATTGCATTATATTTGGTTCTAACTACTGTACTATATCTAGTCTAACTACCATGCTACATCCAGAACCTAACAACCTTGCTATGCTTAGAATCTAACTACCATGCTATATTCAAAATCTATTATCTATACTACATCCAGCTCTAACAACAACAATAATATTACGTTTAGTTTTAACAATCATACTATGTTCAGTTCTAACAACTATGTTATGTTTAGCTCTAACAATTGTGCTATATCCAGTTCTAACAATCATATCATACCCAGAGCCTAACTACTATGCTCTAACTGCCATGCTACATTCAGTTCTAACTACTGTGCTACATCTAGCTCTAACAATCCTGCTACGTTCAGCCCTAACAACCATGCTATGTTTAACTCTAACATCTAGCTTTAACAGCTACACTACATTCAATTCGTAACAAACATGCTACATCTAGCCTTAATTCTATAATTACCATGCTATGTTCAATTCTAACTACTATGCTATATCTAGTTCTGACTACTTACTAGTTACTATGCTATATCCAGTTCTAAATACTATGCTATATTCGTTCTGATTACTGTGCTATGTTCATCTGACAACTGTGTCTAGATACTATTAGAGATGCAAACATTTAGAATTTTGGAGATAGCTACCCCAACAAAAATATCATGGCAATATGGTATATAAATATCATATGTCATCATTTACCTTAATTTGTACAAGTCAAATTTTATAATTTCTACGTATAATATTTCTGAAAATATCAGATATCGATATGTCTGAAAGCTAACCAATTTTTAATGTATTTTCACCTATCAGAAGGATATTGGTTCAGATAGGCATATCAGATATTAGATACTTCTAACAAAAAGTATTGGTTATCTGTTATGCCTATCAGAACCAATATCCTTCCAATAGGTGAAAATATATGCCAAAAATAAGTTAGCTATCAGACATAATCAAACATGTTTTTTAAGATCATGTTTTAAAACATTTGCCATTCCTAGTGTCCATAGTCCTGGTACTTAATACCTATAATATCTGGCATTTAGGGATCTGCAACCTGGGCTTGTTCCTGTGCCTAACAAAAAAGCTAGGCATGGGCATGGGCACATGCATGGGCACAAAAATTGGATATTTATTATTTAATTGTGTCTGGCACTTTGCCCGACATCTTGTGCCTAGCATTTTGTGCCTATGTCTTTAATAGTGCCTAGCACTTTTGTGCCTATAGACACAAACATGGCATAAGGCACTAGTGCCTGGCCTGGTGCCAATGTGCTGGGCATAGGCATTTGCAGACCTCTATATAGTGCCTGGCACTTAGTATCTATAGTGCCAGTACTGTGCCCACAGTGCCTATAATAGTGTCCATAGTACCTATAATAATGCCCATAGTGCCTATAATAATGCCAGGCACTTTAGTGCCTGTGCCTATTATAATGCCTGGCATTTTGTACCCATACCCATAGTAATGCCTAACACTTTTGTGCCTTTGGCATAGGCATATTAATGCCTAGCATAGTGCCAATATGCCGGGCATGGGCATTTGCAGAGCCCTAATTGTTTGAATTGATTTGTTTAACCTTATTCTTATGTTTTTTAAGTTGTTTATGATCTACTTTTGCAGTATGTTTTACTTCTTCATCTGGAATCATAACTAGCCAATTTCATCTTTTTTTTTAACTTTTTAGATTGCTGCACTTTTACCAAATTCGCAATCAAAATTAATTACTACTCAGTTGTTTTCTCTTTTAAATTCTTCTTTAATTGATTTGATATGCTTGTTGTCTCTTAGCACTCATTTTAGATAATTTATTCTTTCAACTTTGTTGTTACATAGTAGATGGTATGCTAGAATGTTTGCTTTAAATGAACTTTTTTGATTATATGTTCTATTCTCTGGTAACTACAAGCTATACTCTAATGGTATTGCTAGATTTGGTTTTCTAAAGCTATAATGCTTTCTTTTTCTTTTTCTTTTTGCTTTTGGATTTTTTTTTTAAGCTTCTTTTCTATACATTTTTTTATTATCTTTAAGTATATTCTCTAAAGAAATTTCTTGATCTTCCTTGAACTTCTTATTTTTGAACTTTGTTTTATTTATACTTTCTTTTTCAGTTGTTTTAGAGGGTATTGTTACTGATATTTGATTTGTTATTTCTATATCTGGCTGGTTTTCTTCCTCTATATGAATGCTGTTTTTTGTTAGTTTGACTAATTCATAAGATCTCAGATCTTCTACTTTTAATTGTTGTTCTTCTTTTGTTATCATTTTCTTGTAATTATTTTCTGAGACTTTTTTACTTTGCTTTTTTTTTTTATACCCTTCATCTTGTTTATTTCTTCTTGTATTTGTTTATTATTTATATTTGTTATATAGTTTACTGTTTCTAAATTTTCATAAATCATTTTGGCTTTAGTTGCCTATTCTTTGATCAGAGTATTATTTGGAATTTTACACTCTCTTTGTCTTAATAAATTTAGTATTTGTCTATAGATTAGTAAATCTATTGCTATAATTTTGTCAAAATCTACTATTGCTAAACTTTTGGTTATGTGCTTACTATTATCTGAAATATGAGGCATTTTGTTTTTAGTCCTTTTGTTAATATCTTATTATTCATAAATCTTAAATTTCTGGTACCTAATCCACTGATGCAATATAATATCTCTTATTTGTACAACTTTTCTATTTTATCTATTATATCTAATTTGATTAGCTCTTGTTTGTCTAATACTTATTTTAAGCCTGTTTTTTTATCTGATTTAACATATGATTCTTTGTTTATTGTTGTTGTATAGCTATTACCCTTTTTAAAATAAAATATATTTGTTTATTTGTTTGTTATTGTTTACTAGTTATATGTTATATGCTTTTGCTTTTCAAAAGCAAGACAATTTTCCACAATTTATATAAAATTTTGTTGAAAATTTTCTAAAAACTATAAAAAAAACTGAATGTTCAAGTTAATAAAAATTTGGTTCTATTTAAATATATATTTTTTTGAATGTTGGATCCTTGTTCTTAGAAGTGTTGATGTTGTTTCTTAGTCTTGATTTTGAGATTTGTTTGTATTTTGTTTAATGTTGATTTTGATACTGTAGATTAGCAGAAAGAGTTCTCTTTATTTATTATTATTAGTTTTGACTTGAATCTATTTATTTCTATATTATTTATTTTAAAAAACTTTTTTGTTACTTTTAATATTTCTAATAATTATTCTTTATTGCTTGCAATCTATATTATATTATTTGCATATATAATTGCTACTTGTAATAATTTGTAATATTATTACAATATTTTTTTTTTATATCTTTTTTAATAGTATATTATAAAAGAGATATTATATTAATAGTAATATTACTTTACTTTGATTTATTTCATCTTTTGCTAGTATTTTTTTTGTTAGACTATAAGCTGTAATTATTTTAAATTATTTTTTATAAAAAAGATTTAAGATATACTTGATTGTCTTCTTAGATATTTTGACTTTTTGCAAAGTTAGTTTAAAACTTTTAAGTAAGACTAAGTTAAATGCTTTTTTTATATATTATAAAAGTATTTTCAACTCTTTATTTTTTTTTTGTCATTTCTATTATTATATTTAGAATATATATAGATTGTTCTGTTAAGTGTTTTGAAAGATTTATATAATTTAGTTCCTTAAGTATTTTTTTTTTAACAAATATTTTACTAAACTTTCTTGTTATCAACTTTGTTACAATCTTTTTAAATATTTCAATTAATACTATTGTTTAAATATTGTTTAAACTATATCTCTATTTTATGTCTTTTGATATTAGATATACTTGTGCTATTTTTTATTTTATTGATATTTCTTCTATTTCTAAACATAGATTTATATAGATTCTAAACACAACGACTCTAGCATTGCCTATAAAAAAATTTAGCTGACGTCATTGTAAAATCATATGATGGCTTTAAATTTCTGAATTAAGCATATCAATATGTTG